TGTAAGCTGCTCCATATGGGCTTGCCCATCTACAAAGCGCGATGATTATGTTTTGTATTGTCATCCCACGTCACAAAAAATGCCCAAGTCTGACAAGCTTCGGAGCTGGTCAGTATATTTAACACGATATTTATGATTTAAATCTAATTATTTGTTTATGGGACTTAATTGGGCTTTCTCATGAATCTTCTTAGGTACCAGAACTTGATCAAGAAGGCCGTTAAGGATGGTGTAGTTGTGGAGCGTAATACATTGTACGACTTCTTTCTTCAGCCTACCAGTGATCGCAAGGCCAGTATATCTGCAGCATGCTTGCCATACTGTGAGAATGATTTCTGGCCTGGAGAAGCAGAGAGACTCCTTGAGAAGAAAGATGACAGCACCTCACAGAAGAAAGAGCCACAAGTAGGAAGGCTCATGCGTGTTGCCAAACGTGATGACAGGAAAGGAAACCTTGAGGATATCTTGCTAGTGCACAAAGTTAGTTCATTTTACTCTTGTTTTAATCCCCCTCTCAGTATAATGTTTGCACTGACATCATATTTTTCATTGTCGATAGCTTGGAGAAAAGATGCGAACAATGAAAGAAGACTTCATTATGCTTTGTCTGCAGCGGTTTTGCAAGCATTGCCACCAACCTATTGTGTCTGGTAAAAGTTGGGTTTGTACCTGCTGCAAAAACTTCCATCTTTGTGACCAGTAAGTATTTCTTCAGATCACTTTTTTTTATACCTACAGAATCTGCTGCCATAATGTTTCTTTTTGTAGAATGAATCTTCTGTGATAGTCATGATCACATTGAATTTGGTAGCAGTACTGAGAATACCTTTTTCTTATGAAAAATAGCTGCACACACATATTATCATCTAGTGCCTAGGCCCTTGTACCTAGCAACTTCCAGTTTCTTTTTGAAATTTGAATTGATCATCTGCCAATCTTGCAAAATGTACTTACATGACCCCTGTTTTATAACTTCTCAGTTTTTGTTCCTCGATAATCACCCATTTCATCGATATAGCATCCATTATTAATGATGTTTCGGTTGTTCTTCCTTGTAGATGCCATGCAGAGGAGCTAACTGCTCCACTAAAGGACCGGCATCCAGCTACAACAAAACAAAAGCATGCATTTCAAAGAGTACTGCTATAAACCCTGCTATACTTTTAGTTCATTTCACCGGTCAAATAAAGCAAGCACAATATGCATACTGCTATTTGTTAAATGTATGATGAAATTTATACTTACCAGAGTAACTACCTGTTCTACAGATAGAGGAAGAACCTCTTCCAGAGACTGATGATGGAGATCCAACAATGGAAAGCAAGTATTTTGACAGCAGAATCGATTTCTTGAAGCACTGTCAAGACAATCAATACCAGTTTGATACACTCCGACGGGCAAAACACTCAACAATGATGATTCTTTATCATCTACATGATTCAGCTTGTTCTGCTTGTCACCAGGCCATGGATCAACGATTTGCGTGGCGGTGCCTGGTTTGTGCCGGCTGCAATTTTTGCGATTCATGTTATAAACAAGACGGTGAAAAATTGCACATTCATAAACTCAAACAGACGGAGCAACAAGTATTACCGAACTATACTCTACAGGTATCCTTTGTAATTCTCAGCTAGCGTAACTTTTCTGCATTGGGCTTACTTTGTAGTGCTGTGGAAAAATAGTTACAGAAGTAGGAAAAAGTTCATTAAACAAACAGTAAAATAGGCAGAAATTTGTTAGACAAACGGGATTATCACAATCCACCGCAACGCCGGCTGGATGTTAAAATTTGCACGGGAGATTCTAAATCTCTCATGTTTTGTTCTCACCTAATTCAGGTACAATTTCTGTGATTAGTTTTTTTGTGTGTTTCTTGGAATATGATTTTCGGTGGCATCAGTTCTTCACCTTACGTGCATTGCACCATTACTTTTTACTTGACCTTTTTGTCATTGTTTCATATTTGTGTTGGAGGTGCTTACTGCTTATGCTCAACTGTTTGTCTTGATAGTATCTTTTGTTGACTTTGAGCATATCCAGTTTAATAAGCAGTGTGAACCATGAAGGATATTCCTTGTTTTGGATTTCTGCGTGGTAGTTGTGTTCATTAATTGTCCTTTAAAAAAAATGTTTGATACCAATGATGTTGATATTTTCAAAGCAGGACTATCTTGAGGCTTTGGTGCATGCATCAAAATGCTTCTGTGCTGCGCGTACTTGTGCTTTCAAACTCTGTTTTACAATGAAGAAGTTGTTCTTCCATGGTGTACGATGTGACATCCGCAACCGAGGAGGTTGCAGGAAGTGTATCTTCATGTGGAAACTTCTGCTCACTCATGCAAAACATTGCGGTGACGGGGCCTGTTCTGTTCCCAGATGCAGGTATAAAAGTCATGCTTTTTCATGCCAGCTTATTTGCATTACTCGTTATATTAAGCAGCTCCTTTCCTTTCTCGGGGTTTCTGATGATATCCTCAATTCCATTTTATTTTAGGGACATCAAGGCATTCTTCATGCACAAGACCAAAATGATTGCTGGGCCACCTTGTGCCATAGAGTGCTAGCGGATCCCGTCCAAAATGAACTCTGCCGTGAACTACCAAGTAGTGGTTTTTTCTCGAGCAGGAAGATTCGTTGATGAAAACGCAATAAACTGCTGTTTGCCGCCGTACATCAGCAGGATTGCATTGCAAAGTAAATAAAATAGCGGCGACTTGGCGGCAGAGGCACCAGCAGCAGAGTTAAGTTAGACTGTTTCGCTGGTATTCCCTGGAATTTGCGCGCGCGAAGAAGGCAGCAGCGCGTCGGAAGGAGATACCAGCAGAAGCTTGCATAGGCAGACAGGCATCCTCTGTAGTAGTGTCTGTACATAGACATGTATATATAGTTGGTTTTCTTTCTTGCAAAGCCATACATAGGATAGAGGATTTTGTTTTATTGTTTCTTTTTGTACCCCCCCTGATTGGATTGAACAAGGCCACAATTTTGTTCAGCCTTGCTGCTGTACTGTGGCTCTGGCTAAATCCAAGTTCATTCAATTATTAATGTGTATAAGAAAGAAGATACCCCTCAAGCTGCATATACATGTGCTTGTAGCATCTGCATTTGTTCATAATCTCCTTTTATCAATAATACTCTCTGTATTTTTTTTTTGAAATAGATATTTGCATACATAATAATTTTATACTTGATAATTTAAGTGCATGCAATTTAAGAACATTTTCAAATTAATCATTCAAATTCAAGAACATGAAATGGTTCAAATGAAGTAATAAACCAAATAAGGCACTAGAATCAAGCTTTAGGAAGTGTTCTCAAGTGCTCATCAAGACCTTCTTGGATCATGTTTGCACTATGCTTCGGCTCTAGCGGGATCCCCGTTGGACTCGATGGATGATGGATGTCATTGACAATGTGGTAGCCCATCGTGTGCTCATGGCCATTGACAACTTAGTTGTAAGGTGGGACATCTCCAGCAGCAATCTTTTGAAAAGTGGTGACCTCGAAAGGACATTAAGGTTAGTACATCAACTCAACTACTCAAGGAACAATCTGAATGTAATGGAATGCTAGAAGAGGACAGTGAGATGTGAGTTGCACAAGCAGTGAGCAATTTATGAAGAGTAATCATGGAGCGCTCCTAGCAATTGTATCTATAGGTTCAACTAGCATTTCTATGTTCGAGTACCGTAAACGTAATTGTTGAGGGATTAAGATAAGATTTCATATCTGTCATTGAATGGACCCCATGTCCATTTATAGTTTTTTTTGGAAGTACACCACCCATCACAAAAAGTTGAAATAAAACGCCATCTGCAAGGGGCGGGATAAGCTATAGCAAGATCTCTAGTCATGTAACCCCAAAAGAAACAACTAGCTCAAACCAAAGAAAGACTACAGTCTCTGGACTTTTCTAAGTTCTTTTGGTCAGAGTTCAACTCTGCAGAGAAAGTGAAAAATCCACGGTCTTACATCCACTGAGGTAGTCATCTTGCTTTCCTTTACTTTCCCTTATGATATTTGGCAAGCTCAGTAAAATAGATCATACTTTATTTTAATGTTGCCTGAAAAAGGTGGCTCGATAAAGGTGTCAAAGGAATCTGCTGATAGAGCTAAAGTTAAGGCTTCATTCCAAAAAACAGAGCATGGAATTTAAGTTTACAGCCCGGCCATAAAGGAACCGAATGAAAAAACAGAGCATGGAATTAGTACTAGCATAGACAAAACCATCATGAATAGTGTCAGAAGAAGACAAAAGCAAAGATGACAATATTCACATCTGAATTTGTCTTTTTTTGTTTTTTCATGTGTATTTTGAATTTCGGTCTGAATTTTTTACGGGTTGCCGACATATGTGCTCCGAACATCCATGATTGCTTTCAGCATTTTTGACATATGTTTAAATCTGAATTTTGCAAGTTGATAGTATCATGGTAGCATCGCGTGGTACTTCACCATGATGATCCATCGCTCTCCTCCTTCCAGCACATGCAAAGCCCCTGTGTTGCCATGAAGATGCCGTCACACTGGCCGTGCACCCTCCATAGATCGATGCCAGCTTCATCGTCCCCACTTTGTTGCGCCCTCTGGTTTTAGCTGATTGTGCTCAGCAGTATCCATCCATGGTACACATTCCACATCTATCCCTTTGGTGTAGTAATGGCGGCATGTGCTGCAACAGTCGAGTTAACGGTGCGGCCATGATCGGTCGGCTTGCGCATTCAATTGCTAATCTACTTATCCATCTGTAGCTGCTGGTTAAATTGATTGATTGAGATTGAGTGATTGCCTCTACGGCTCTACGCTACGTACGTACGTGTGAAGGTCGAGCTGTTCATTCATCCCTTGAGTAATTGTTCATTGATGGATCTTCCATGGAGTGGATCGCTCGCTCGCCGCCTGCTTCCTGGCTATATACACACCCTCGCCATGGCTGCCGCTCCCTCACTTCGCTTGTGGTTGTTGTCGCAGAGGTGCAGCGGGTAGATAGATAGGTGGAGATGGTCGCCATGGAAGGAGGTGGTGGAGGGAGGCTGCTGCTCCGCGTTCTCATCGTCTGCGCTGGGGCGCTGATGGCGGCCGCTGCGGAGGGAGGCGGCGGCGGCGGCGGGGACACGTCGGTCGTCTTCGTCGTCGGCATGGCCCAGTGCGCCGGCTGCGGGAGGAAGAGCTTGGGCGCCGAGGCGGCGTTCAGGGGCCTCAAGGTCGCCATCACGTGCAAGAACGAGAGCAAGGCCGTCGCCAGCCTCGACGGCACGGGCGCGTTCGAGGTGCTCCTCCCGGCCGACGCCGGCGCCTCCGAGTGCCTCGCGCAGCTCCAGAGCGCGGCGAGCGGCGCGCCGTGCCCCGGGCAGGAGCCGTCGAGGATCGTGCCGCTGCTGGCCGAGGGCACCTTCGTCGCCGTCGCTGGCAAGGCGGCGCGAGGTGGGACGTCGGCGGCGCCCGAGTGCGCGGCGGCCAACATCTGCTTCCCGTGCCACGCGTTCGGCAGGAAGCCCTTGTTCGCGCACCGGCGCATGAAGCCCATGCCGGTGTACGCTCCGCCCGTGTACGGGACGCCGGTGCCGGCGTGCCTTTGCACCCCTACCCCGGCCCCGGGGTGCCAGTGCCCTTCTGCCATGCCGGTTTACGGGACGCCCGTGCCGGAATACTACCCGCCTCCAGCCCCGGAGTACGGGACGGCGACGCCGGTGTATGCTCCGCCAGTGTACGGGACGGCGACGCCGGTGTATGCTCCGCCCACCGTGCCCGTGTACGGTACGCCGACGCCCGTGTATGCTCCACCGGTGTACGGGACGCCGACGCCCGTGTATGCTCCGCCCACGGCGCCCGTGTACGGGACGCCGACGCCGGATTGCCCTCCTGAGGCGCCAGAGTACGGGACGCCGACGCCCGTGTATGCTCCGCCCACGGCGCCCGTGTACGGGACGCCGACGCCGGACTGCCCTCCCGAGGCGCCGGAGTACGGGACGCCGACGCCGGTGTACGCTCCGCCCACGGCGTCGAGATGCCTGTGCACGCCTACTCCAGAGCCGGGATGCCAATGCCCTTCCACGAAGCCGGCGTACGGGACGCCGACGCCGGTGTACGCTCCGCCCACGGCGCCGAGATGCCTGTGCACCCCGACCCCGGAGCCGGGATGCCAGTGCCCCACTCCAACCCCCACGCCGGTCTACGTGGCGCCGCCGACGCCGCAGCTCCCTCCCCCCACGCCGGTGTACGGGACTCCATCGCCGGTATACGCTCCACCGACGGCGCCCGTGTACGGTACTCCATCCCCGAGATGCCTCTGCACCCCGACCCCCGCGCCGGGGTGCGAGTGCCCTGCTCCCACCCCCACGCCAGTCTACGGCACGCCAGCACCGACGACGTACCCTCCTGCCGCTCCGGCGTACCCACGGCCGGCGCCGGAGTACGGAGCGCCGCCGGCGCCAGAGTGCCCGCCAGAGTACGGCACGCCCATCTACACTCCTCCGGGCCACCAGTAGTTCTATCAATGCATGGTAGCACTCTGACATTACGAGGGTACATTCTGAGGGGAATAAAAGGTTGTGAGACTGATTAATGGCGGCCAGCTTTGATGACGATGGAGCATGCTCGTGTACGCTGTACGTACTTTCCAAATTGTTTGCATTTGGCAATGGACACAGGAAGGTGTATGTTCATGCGTGATGTGACGTTCTCCCTAGGAAGAACTATACTCACTGGTCACTAGATCACGATGATGGCACGTGTTGCCGCGCCCCCCTAAGATTTATTTTTACCATAGTGCTATACTAGTATATAAATTATGGGAAACATGTGAGCCAGCAAAGATGGGTGGATGGATGCGCGGTTTTAAATTTTGGAAACATGGGAATTCTGCTTTTAACGAATTTTGATTCAATGCATGTGTATTAAACTTATTTTGAATCCAGTCTTCAAATTTCGGGGTTGCAAAATTTTCAATGTCCACCGAAATACAGTAAGAACTTTTGTTACTATTTCATACACGCTAAGAGCATCTCTCACAGATTCTGCAACCCCGCGTCCCACAAAACGTGTATAAGGGCTTTTACGGGACGAAACGCGCTGAGACGGTATATATCCCACATCGGGATCGGAATTCACCACTATTTTGAAAGCTAGCGGATCGCGCTTTAATTAAACATAGACGGAGTTCGCCGGAGTTCCGCACTGAGTTCAAGCAACTCCTGACGCTCCGGAGTACGGCGGAACGCCCGTCTACAGACTACACCCCGCTTCCCCTGCCCCGGGCCACCGTTAGCTCCATTAATGGTACTAGCACTCTGACTTAGTAGTAGTAGTACATGCTAAGGGGAATAAAATGTTTGTGACTCGTGAAACTGATTAGGTGGCCGACTTTGATGACGGTGGGGCATGCTCGTGTGATGTACTCCCACTTTGCAACTTGTTTGCATTTGGCAACGGAAGCAGTAAGCTGTATGTTGATGATGTCAAGTTTCACTATTAAGACCTCACTAGTCCTTTGATCATGATGGCACGTGTTGTCGCGCCCGTCTTGATTTACTACAAATATTTTGGTATAGAGGGAGTAAATTATAGGAAACATGTAAGCGAATAAAGATGGATGGACGTGCGGCTTTAAAGTTTGGAAATATGTGAAATTTAAGAAATTCTTTCACATTTCGATCTATCAAAAATCACTTACTTTTAATGAATCTATTCTACGTGTGTTATACTTATTTTGAATTCGGTTTCAAATGGCTTACAAAATATTCGATATCCACCGAAATAACAAATTTTATTTGATATCTTGAACGACGTATTTGAAATTTGAAGACCATACACTAAGAAATTTGTTACTATTTCGAACTAGCACTATTTAGTTCTATCTTCATACAAACTAAGAACTCTAGCCCAATACACGAGACCACATAGTAAACCAAAAAACATATCAATGCAACATTGAATAGGAACGTACCTAGCTGCCAGCCGTGCTAGGGTTCCTCCTGTCTCCCGGCGGTGCCGGTCTACCTCGTCTCTTGTGGTCTTAGGGCCATGGAGGCGTGGTGGATCTCGGCCCTTGCCGAGGAGAGGGCTTCATTTTTTGATGCTTTTTAAAGCTTTCTTAGGGTTTGTGTTCCGCTCAGAGAGATGAGGCGACAGCGGCTCTCTGAAGATGGAATAAGGTTCCCCCGCCTAGCCTCGGTCTCGGTGGTGCTTCTAGCGTCATCGGAGGGCATGCGGAGGTTTGTCTTCGGCGCGTCTCGCGGGATTTGGTCGGCGTTTGTCTTCTGTGGATCTACATGGATCCGGTCTTTTGTCACTCTGTGTTCATGTGTCTACATCTTGGATTCTTCCGATCTAAGCTTCTCTTCAATGGCGACGGTTGCTGTTCTGGTGCGCTAGTCATATAGGGCTTAGCATGATGACTTTCTAACTGTCTACTACAACAGGTTTTGTCCGGCTCTAGGGTGGGAGGGGCGATGACTGCGGCGCGCCTTCGGCTCGCTTCAATGCTTGTAGTCATCGTTAGGTGGTCTACCGATCTGGATGTAATTTTTTTTTATTTATGGTATTCGTTGTACTGTCATGATGATGAATAGATTGGAAATTTTCTCGCAAAAAAAGGAATAATTATGTATGCAAAGCATTTTGATCCAATAAACTAAAAAAGAAAAAACTTTCATAAATAAGAATTCATGTTTTTATTTTCTTTTAACCATCCCTTAAGAAATACCTCACTCCAGGAACAAAACGTGTTGCCAAGAAACATCACGCCTCGTCAACACCTCCGCTTAAGCTCAGTGGTTTTTTTTAGTCAAAATGAAACTTTATTCATTAGAAATAATCAGTACATCGTTTGTGAGGATCATTACAATTTCATTTAGAGGCTCCTCAAACCAATCCAAAGTTGAAGAAAATCTAGCTAATCTAGCAAGTTCATGTGCTACTTTATTTGTCTTTCTATTACAATGTTCGAATGTAGTCATGATAAAATCACATACATAGTGAAAGCAGTCATCGAAAATTGCCGCCGCCGCACCCGTTGATTGTCCTCCGTCCTGCATGGTCTCAATTACATCCAGATTATTTGAGTTGATGATTAATTGCTTGCACCCCGCCCTTTGCGCTAATGTTAGTCCAAATTTGAGAGCTAATGCTTCTGTCATCAGAACATCCGCGCAATGGTTGATCTTTCCATTTCCTTCTGCAATAAACCTACCTTTGTCGTCTCGCAAGACTGCCCCCATCGTACCCTTCAACATGTCATGGTCAAAGGAGGCATCAACCTTGAGTTTCATGAAACCCCTAGGAGGACAAAGCCAACCCTCTTTTTTATGGATGCCTTTGAAGATGATGCATTTACAAAATTGTATGTAAGGGCTGTGATCCCCATTGATATCTGAATTGCATTCTGAGTTACTTCCTTGTGCACTAATTTCCGTCTCTCCCACCATAGATACCAAGCTGAAATAGCCATAATTTCTCGTATATTTTGGTACCCCATAATACGCAAATCTTGCTCTGGAAGAAGTAAAAGGTATTCCAATATCGCCTCCCCAGCACGATCAACCTCACAAGCTCTATCAATAATGTGCTCCATCCCTAGTCTCTTCCAGACCTCCTTTGCTTTAGTACATAGAAAAAGCATGTGTTTCGTGTCTTCTACACCCTGAGAGCAAGTAGGTGATAACCCACAAGTATAGGGGATCGATTGTAGCCTCTTTCGATAAGTAAGAGTGTCGAACCCAACGAGGAGCTAAAGGTAGAACAAATATTCCCTCAAGTTCTATCGACCACCGATACAACTCTACGCACGCTTGACGTTCGCTTTACCTAGAACAAGTATGAAACTAGACGTACTTTGTAGGTGTTGTTGGATAGGTTTGCAAGATAATAAAGATTACGTAAATAAAAAGAGGGGCTGTTTAGATAAAGACACAACTAAGTTAGTTTTAGTAAAGAACTTTTTGTTACGAGAAAGTTATTTGTCCCTAGGCAAATCGATAACTAGACCGTTAATCATTATTGCAATTTTATTTGAGGGAGAGGCATAAGCTAACATACTTTCTCTACTTGGATCATATGCACTTATGATTGAAACTCTAGCAAGCATCCGTAACTACTAAAGATCATTAAGGTAAAACCCAACCATAGCATCAAAGTATCAAGTCCTCTTTATCCCATACGCAAACAACCTACTTACTCGGGCCTGTGCTTCTGTCACTCACACCACCCACCATAAGCAAATCATGAACATATTGCAAACCCTACAGCGAGAATCCCTCACGTTTGCGCGACATGGAGAGCACCATGATACGTCCATTTTGCATCATGCTTTTATATCGATATTTATTGCATTATTGGCTATTATTACACATTATGTCACAATACTTATGCCTATTCTCTCTTATTTTACAAGGTTTACATAAAGAGGGAGAATGCCGGCAGCTGGGATTCTGGCTGGAAAAGGAGCAAATATCAGAGACCTATTCTGCACTGCTCCAAAAGTCCTGAAACTTCACGGAAGTCCTTTTCAGAATATATAAAAAATACTGAGCGCAAGATGTTCACCAGGGGGGCCACACCCTACCCACGAGGGTGGGGGCGCGCCCTACTCCCCTGGGCGCGCCCCCCTATCTCGTGGGCCCCTGGTGGCCCTCTGATGCCCATCTTCTGCTATATGGAGTCTTTCAATGAGAAAAAAATCATAAGCTAGCTTTCGGGACGAGACTCCGCCGCCACGAGGCCGAACCTTGGCGGAATCAATCTAGGGCTCCGGTGGAGCTGTTCTACCGGGGAAACTTCCCTCCGGGAGGGGGAAATCATCACCATCGCCATCACCAACGATCCTCTCATCGGAGGGGGTCAATCTCCATCAACATCTTCACCAGCACCATCTCCTCTCAAACCCTAGTTCATCTCTTGTATTCAATTCTTGTTTCCATGTCTAGGATTGGTACCTGTGGGTTGCTAGTAGTGTTAATTACTCCTTGTAGTTGATGCTAGTTGGTTTATTTGGTGGAAAATCATATGTTCAGATCCTATATGCATATTAATACCCCTCTGATTATGAACATGAATATGCTTTGTGAGTAGTTACGTTTGTTCCTGAGGACATGGGAGAAGTCTTGCTATTAGTAGTCATGTGAATTTGGTATTCGTTTAATATTTTGATGAGATGTATGTTGTCTCTCCTCTAGTGGTGTTATGTGAACGTCGACTACATGACACTTCACCATTATTTGGGCCTAAAGCAAGGCATTGGGAAGTAATAAGTAGATGATGGGTTGCTAGAGTGATAGAAGTTTAAACCCTAGTTTATGCGTTGCTTCGTAAGGGGCTGTTTTGGATCCACATGTTTCATGCTATGGTTAGGTTTACCTTAATACTTTTGTTGTAGTTGCGGATGCTTGCAATAGAGGTTAATCATAAGTGGGATGCTTGTCCAAGTAAGGACAACACCCAAGCACCGGTCCACCCACATATCAAATTATCAAAGTACCGAACGCGAATCATA